GCAGATGAAATGAAAGTAATGACAGAGAAAATGCAGCATAGCCGTGAAGAGGTGTAGAAGCATAAGGTTGGAGGAAAAGGAGAAGGACGCTGTTAGGACGGAGGAGAGTAAGAAAGAGACAGAACTCATTCTTACTCTGGGATATTCGCATAGGGCAAAAGAATATGAACGTGTATAAGTGTTTAAAGATAATTTATTCGACAAACGTAATAATGATACAGTATACAAAGTACAGATATACATACAGACATACACATACAGCTCGCGAAAGATTTGTAATAAGAGTACCATTAAAGATATATTACATATATCGCTGCAATATAATATTCGTAGTTATACGCACTACGACGTTAATTTTTCCTTTTTCCAAAGGACATTTTAAATACTTAGTTTTTAAGGATATACTAGGAAGAGAGTGATGGAGACATAGTAAGGAATAAGAGATTCAGAAATTGAGTAGAAACGTTTAGTGGCAGCAGACAGGGAAGATGTTGTTGAAGAGAAAAAGAGGAAGATTGTTAAAAAGAAAGATTGAAGAAGAAAGATTGTAATGACTGAGGGAACAAGGGGAGAAGAAGATGCGTAAAGCGTTGTACAAAGACAAGATTATTCTGGACGTGCGAGAAAAGAGAACAATGGAAAAAGTAGGAAAAGTAGTAAGCAAAAGGGAGCGAAATGGGCCCCACCCCGCCCATTTCCGTGAGGTCCTGCCTCTCCTGAAGGGAGCTACGACCCCTCCGAGGCCCCATAGGGGACCGTGTTTGTTTTTTTTGAGGAAAACCCCCGAGTCCTGCGGCTGTCGCGCACAGGACTAGGGGGGAAAAACCTCAGGAAGGAAAGGAAGTCGGGTCGAGGGACAAGAAAAACGCACAAGGGGGTAAAGTGAAGTTAAATGCGAAAAAGGTAAGATAAGTTAAACGTAAAAGGGACAAGTTAAACGCGAAAGGTCTACCCCTAGTCAAGATTCACCGCAACGAAAGACCGCGGGCGTAGCACCCGGCGGTACCCTTGCGGGCACGCCGGGACATCCCGAAGGACGATATTTAACGCTACAACCTCCGTCCCTTCCCACGGGCAAGCCCAGTGGGTTAGACGTAAGGAACCACGCCCGCCGCCGGCGGCGGGCCCCGTTAGCCATCGATCCACGCGCAAAATGTCTCCGACAGGGGGTGACTTTATACTAGCGGGTGCTCAATAGCACCCGCACCTATCCCAAGTGAAGTGACCCCCAAGCACAAGCACAAGTAGGACTTTACCCAAAGTCAACGGACTACCCCTCCGACCTCCCCACGGACAAATAGGATCGTCTCTACCCACACAAGTGCCCAAGGGTCAAGACATGTTGGGACGTTTTTAGCAAAGCGAACAAATGATACTAAATACGCGAGAGCTAGACACCTGGCTAGATTCACTATACGAAAGACCATGGCCGTAGATACCCTAAGGGGGCTCAAGGCCCCCGTCGGGAGACCCATAAGGTCCTGTTGCGGCCACAACTTGGGCCACCAACCACTGAGCAAGCTCAGCGGAAGAGGCGGAAGGGCAACCCCCGACACCATGGTCTTAAGTCTAGCTGCACTAACCGGATGACTACTCTTATATGACTACTTGAATTAATATGCTCGACCCGACCAAGGAAATAGGAAAAGTAAGACAAGCACAATGTAAAGAGGGAGAGAACAGAGTGAAACGAGAAGTTATAAAGGAAGATCAAATTTAAGAAGTTAAAAAATAGAAAAGTAACGAATGGGGGGTATAAAAGTAGAGACGAAATAAGGAAGGAGATAAATAAGAAAGCAAAGAATGAAATAAAAAGAAATAAGGAAATAAAGAAGAAATAAATATAGGAAAAGTAATACAAGCACAATGGAAACTGAGAGGGAATAACGAATGGGGGGTATAAAAGTAGAGACGAAATAAGGAAGGAGATAAATAAGAAAGCAAAGAATGAAATAAAAAGAAATAAGGAAATAAAGAAGAAATAAATATAGGAAAAGTAATACAAGCACAATGGAAAGTGAGAGGGAACAGAGTCAAACGAGAAATCAGAAATGAAGATAGAAATAAAGAAGTCAAAAAGTAAAAAAGTAAGGAATAGAGTTATAAAAGTGAGAAGAAATGAAGTAAGAGATAAATAAGAAAGTAAAGAATGAAATATAAAGAAATAAGGAGGTAAAGAAGAAATAAATATAAGAAAAGTAAGACAAGCACGATGGAAAGTAAGAGGGAACAGAGTGCAACGAGAAATCAGAAAGGAAGATAGAAATAAAGACGTCAAAAAGTAGAAAAGTAAGGAATAGAGTTATAAAATTAGAGAAGAAATGAGGAAAGAGATAAGTGAGAAAGTAAAGAATGAAGGATAAAGAAATAAATATAGAAAAAGAAGAAGGTCGGAAATTTGTGACAGGGATGTTTCCAAGAGACCAGTATAGGAGACCGGCTCGAGGAAGAATGAGCGCTGGGAGTCCGGGCGCTGCCTTATGTGCTCCCCCCACTCCGCCAACTCGCCGAGCCTGCGCGTAATCCCGAGTCTCTCGCCTAAACCGTAGCGTTGTGCATCTTCCTACTTATGTCTGTGCGAACCATTTATTGCTCTCACTCGCCGAGTTCTGCGCGCCGAATCTGCGCACAGAATTTTGGGCATCTTCCAGTACTTCTAAATATTCTTGGCCAGAATTTCCTTTTTCTAAGTGTTAATATTTTACTTTACTGATTTAATGAATTATTTTAATGTTCCGAACACCTAATTTATGAATATTTCAATTTGAACGTAATTTATTTTCGATATTCTACAATTTCAATTCAATTTTTATCTCCTCCGTATATTCTGTGAGATTTTGATTAAGTCTCAATTTTATATTTTGAATAAATTTTGAAAGTAAATCAAGATCAAATAGTATTTAGTAAAAATTGAGGTGCTATAAGGGTGTCACAAGTTGGCATTGCAGTTTCTTAAAAATGTCTTAAAAATGTTTCAACAATAGGCTTTTTCAATAGTTCTTGAGAAGTTCCATAGTTCCCGAGCTCATTATAATTTAGTAAAAATTGAGGTGCTATAAGGGTGTCACAAGTTGGCATTGCAGTTTCTTAAAAATGTCTTAAAAATGTTTCAACAATAGGCTTTTTCAATAGTTCTTGAGAAGTTCCATAGTTCCCGGTCTCGTTCTAAGGATTGCTTTAGAAACCTGCAGTGAGTAGCAGAGAACCTTTACCCGTCAAGTTACGCGTTCGTGTTCACGTTTAGCTCGGTTACGACGGGATTCGGACGGTCCTTACGATTTGCTCTCTCTTTATATTCCCGGTTACACTTTCTGCGGCTACAGTGAGCAGTCCAGTACTATATGTCTATGCATAGAACACATCGAAGGAGATCTATAAGATTACTTACAATGTGCGATCGCCATTTTGAAATTTTTATAATACAAAACAGATGAGCTTTTTGTTTTTTAAAGCTTAAGAGGGGGAAGTAACAATCTGGATAAACAAAGTTGAAGTACTTAAAATCATAATAAAGCATTAGTAATTTATATTAATTATTAATAAAGCTTGATCTCACTAATAATATTCTCACATACAAGCATTTTGTCTGCAATTATTCAATAAATTGTTTATCCGGTATCAAACAGATAATGACTTTCGTAACAGCGTAAGAATAGTATCAAATTTTATTTGATATTTTTAATATAAAATATTTTTTTATAGTGAATAGAATTTCATGTTATAAATGTCTTTGGACGTGGGATACCAATTAAATTGACTAACTCAAAGTTAGTTCTTATCAGTGCAACTGGCAGTGAGTCTGTCAAACGTAAACCAGCGTTCTACTTCCAACGACGGTACTGTTTGAGTGATAAAAGTTAAATAAAGTGTTCAGTCTGTTAAAGTTAAATGAAGTCAGTTGAAATTATACCTACTGTCTTGTAAAAGTATAACAATACTCACATAAATTAAGTAAGAAATGAAGTACAGTTATTATCTAAATGTGCAATATATTTCGAAATTGTAAATATAAAGAGAGTACTTATTATCTACATTTGTTTCAGGGACAAAAATTAAAATCTATATGATTTGGCTTTAGACTCGTGTAAATTAGAGGAAGAGCAAATAATGTAAAAATACATAATTTACCGTCTAGCGTCAATATTTTCCGGAAGGCATGAAACATTATGGTTCATAGCACATAGTCGTGCGTATTCAAAGTAACATAATTTTACGCACTGGAGTAACGCAATGCTAGAACGGCATACTTAATCCATTATTCATAAACTTTGGATACTTCTGTGACAAATTATGCGTTCAAGCATAAATTAATACATTAAGACAAGAAATACTAATCATAAATATAATTCATTGAATAAACATCCTGGTACTAAACCGATGGAAAATGTTTTATGACTTAGGATTTCTAATTACTTCTTCTTGCTTTTGCCTAACGTAAGAGTATGATGTTGAGCCTGCTGAGCGACTTGAGTCTTTCTTCTATTAAACTCAAGTATGTCATCTTCCAGCTTCTTGCGACTTTCTTCCAATTTCTTTTTTTCCTCGGTATGGTCTTTTTTCAGCTTATCGAATTTATTATGCAGCTGAAAAGTCGTATTTGTATTAGATTTATTGCAGGATGGGCTGAAAATTGGTAAATCTCGTTTGTGATAACAGTTGTTACCTCCTTTTCAGCTTCTTTTAATTCCGCTTCCTTCTCTTTGACTCGGGCAACAAACATTTGACGCATCTCGTCCTCTTTCTGTTGAAGTTCTTGCAAATGAGTCGATCGCTTCGCCTCGCAGGTTTGTTGGAAGCTCACAGGTTTGTTCTCGCTATCTACATCGCTAAAGCCCATCTAAGTGCAAAGAAAATATTCAGAACCAAGTTCTTTATTAAATAGGCAAAGATAGTATCACACGACAGAGGAAATAAAAACTAATAAAAATGATTTACCTGTTCCAGTCGCTTTTTACGATACAATTCATAATGACGGCAATGAGTTTTCTCTCGCATGTCTTCCATATTAGTTCTAATCAGCATTTCACGTAATTTTACAAAGTCACAGTGAGATTCATTTTCAACTGTAAATATATTGAAAGATCGATAAAGTTTGTTTCAAGATCATGATAAACTATAGTAAAATATATTACCTTGTACAATTCCCCACGGGTATTGACGGGAACGCATCATTTTATTTCCCACACGAACAAAATCAGTACTACCAACCACAGCAAATGGTACATGGGCATTCATTGTAGTATTCACATCAGATACATTTTCATCGTCAGTTGGAAATTGATAAATATGCACTCCATTGCTTTGGAGTTCAGATATTATTTTACTCTGAAAAAATTGGAATCATGTATTATTTATTAATAATGACTCAGTACATAAAATCAGCATGTGATAAGTATAAATATAAATGAATCAAAAATTTAGTTACTTTAAACTTTTGTAGTTCAGTCTTAGAAATGGTATCAGCCTTGGCAATTATAGGAATGATGTTGACCTTTGTATCCAATTTCTTCATACAAACTAGATCTATTGATTTTAATCTGAAAGTATACATTTTGTTTGCTAGATGTGTTGTACCCACTTTGATATTCAGAAATCTTTTAAATGTATTCCAAATGTTACATTATATTATGCCATGTTACATATTGCTATTTGTAAGAACGATTATGAATAACATAATACAACCGCTTACCCATGTCCCGTAGGGCAGATGAAGTATAAGCAGACATGAATGCGACTATCATGATAAGTTGAAAGAGAGCGTTTAATTTTAAGTTCTTCTTGTAAGTAAGCTTCAAACTGTGCATCGATGTAATCAACAACAGCTTTAAAACTATCTTCCTTATTAATTTGATCACCATATCCAACAGTATCCACGATAGTCAACTTTAGTCTAACGTTACTTTCTTGCAGTTCATATGTATGAGCTTTCAGTTTCACTGAAGGTAAATTATGCGGACTTGGACTTGATTCAAAGCTTGTATTAAACAGTGAATCCATGAGCGTTGATTTACCAAGGCCAGTTTCACCTGGAATACAAATTACACTCAAATCACTGTGAAATAAAAATAACAGACAAAATAAATTCCATCATATAAATATTACATAAAGTAATAAAATATCATATCATATATCATATTTCGTACCGATACACAAGATGTTGAATACAAATCCATTTTGCACTGATTTATTAACAAGCTGATCAGGCAAACTGTCAAATCCCACATGTCCAGAAAGCTTAAGATTCCGGAGGGATGTCTCCAGCTGGAACAGAGAACCAGCGATTGGAATTCCTATGGATACCATATCCGTAAATAACAGTAATTTGTCCACAAAAGGGAACGTTACTCGCGACAAACTCGCTTGGAAAGAAAAGAACGACGAAACCAACGCCCTTTAGCTTGAACGAATTTAACGCGACCGCATTTGACATTCAAGCAATTTTATAATCACGCCCCACGCGCCCTATCGGAATAACCTTTTCACAAAAGAGACATGGCACCGCCAACAATTTTCATGGGAATAAAAGTCAGAAAACGTCACTTACCTTAACGCGTTCGATATCCACGGCCGCCATTTCTGGTTTGCTTTGATGTATGCGCCATGCACGTCCGGACTAGACTTAGGCGCGGTATGTCTGGACGCTATGCCACTTGAAATGCCAAGACAAACGGAATTCCTAAGACAAAAATGTTCCGTCTTTATGAGGACGTTTGAGAATTTGATATAACAAAAGATTTTCTGTTATAGTTCTTGATTTGTGTGATAGTTGGCTTTTTAAGTTGGTAAACTTTCAAGAGCAGTCGAAGTCCCCGGATTTTTTTGTACCGGGTGTAGGTCAGAATGATTCCCAAGTAAGAATTGATGGAAAAGATTTTCTTAATCGACATGCATTATATTTAATGAAATTATAGCAAGTATGTATATGATAATGTATTCATTAATATGCATGGAACGTTTATGTTCCTAGAAAGTCCTTAATGTTAAAATTTCAGACACTCCTATAATTAAATATTAGTTTTAACATTCACTAACTATAATTAGCTTTAAATTAACCTTTACTTCTCATTTACGGAACAAGAAAATATTTCTAATTGGATTAACTGTTTCCAGTTTAATTAAAATGTATTTTTGCGTTTTATACAAATATGTACATATTCTTATAATACATTGCAGTAAACAAAATATTCACAAGGAATTATATTCCAGTGACAACAAAACAGACGCTTTAAAAAATTACAATAAAAGTAATGGCATTACATGGAGAAAAGTAAAATGAATCTTCCACGATCTTTTTGAAAGTAGGCGATTGAAGTTAGGTAAAAAAAATATCTAGTTTCAATGGCGTAGGAAGAGGACATTTAAAAATCCAATATATCGGAAAATTGGTTCAATGATTTGTTCTGGTTTATTCGTAGGCTCTGCAGCACTCGGTATATGCAGTCTACTGGAGTCTGCTGGCGTCCAGTGGCGTCTACGCCGTCTATCGAGAGGCGCCAGTACCCGTGAGCCACCAGTGCTCGATTCGCCGGCTTTCCAGTCCTGACACGCGGCTAGGGACTTTTGGCCCGATCGACTGGCAGACTCCTCACAACAGTGTCCACTTTCTAACATGGCAGATCAATTTGTGTTGTATTATCATGTGACGGAGAAAGGCTCTCATCGATAAAGTGATTTGTGCGTGAACTTTATTGAAAAACCTCGCGAGGAAATTTCTGAAAAAATCATCCTCGCGATGGCGGACTTAACGAGTCCACCGTTCAGTGACATTAAACGGCCCGAGGAGGTGGTGGCGATGGCGATGAACGACAGCCTTAAATTTGCCGTGTTGATCGGGCTAATCGAGGTGGGACAGATGTCGAATCGCGAGGTCGTCAACACCGTTCTTCATTTGGTAAGTTTAGTTCGACATTCTTACAATTCTTACCCGATCAGACCGGTTGCCAAAATTCTAGAGCATACCGTCCGATCACTGCAAAACTCCTGTCAAGACGAGCTGTCAAACGTGTCTGACTAATGTCTGTCTCGTTACTGCAACCGGTTTCTTAAGACCTCGTGTTCCACTACCAAGTTTTTGAGATCCACACGTGTCTTATCATCGTGATGTCAACGACGCACGCATCGCGAACCATCGATGCCGTGTCCTGGCGAAGCTTTCATGAGTTAACCGTGTTTCACTCCCTCTTGACACCAGTTCACCGCTCTTTTTCTTCCACTCTACTTGCGCAAATTCACCACCTGTACTTTTAAGAGTGATCCTCGTAACATGATTCTTGCTGAATCACGATGCATCATACCACACCTTTCCTCATTCCGAATGATTTTAACGCGCCAGAAATATGCGAACGTGTTCAATCTCTTTTTCTTTGCTGAGTGAATAAAACTTTCGTTACATCCTCGCTTCGCTGTACGGACTCACCGGTTCGCGGTGACGTACTCTCATAGCCATGCATTTCTCTTATCTTCCTATTAACTTTAATTAATAATTAACGAATTTATTTATATCGTCCAAGCTTTTAAAAAGGTTGCGACGGTAGTCGCGTAAGCTCAACTTCTCTTTATAAGACGCAATCGTGCAGTTATTAGAATTTCCCTGCATTGACAAGGTCGCGCCTGCTAGTTATTGAACGAGGCATATGTCGTGTTTCTGTGCACACGTGAGAACCGGTAATCTATCGGAGTCGTCCAATTTTCTACGTCCTTCCAGATACTTGTTATCAGTTATTTCAACACAACAAGCGATGCGAATGCTCGTTTCACATACTGCGCTAGTTTAATTCTGTTTTATTTATTTTTCTTACTTCTATTATCTAAGCTTCCAGTTCGTGGTTTACACAGTTCGTTCCTCGAGCACGTTCTCACGGATTCGAAAAATCAGATTTCAACCTCAAGAAGCGAGTCTGTGCCCCGGTGCTTTGTTCCACTTTGTTCATGAGAAACTCACTACGAATTACCCGCACATGGCGACTATTAATCTTAGGTTCCGACAGGTTCGCCAATACGGAATAGAGTTGTTAATTATTATATACGAACTTGATGTTCTCGTGAGCAGTACACTTACTAGGAACACTGGACCATTCATGACCTGACAATTAAGGAAAAAATATTTTTAACTATCGATCCATTGTCATTATCTTAACTTTTCTTAATAAATTAAACTTGACACACTTGTATTCCAATATGCCTCAATGATGATTTTGCGCTTTTCATCTCCTTCCAGTATGCATAAAATTTGGCATGAAAGTCTCGGTCATTCTAGTGGATCGATAAGGAGGTTTCGCGCGTGAAATTGCATACTGTGACTTCGTGGCATTAGTGCACCTTTCAGAGTCGTGTGTATCAGGCGTTTACGCAACCATCGTGTTATGTGTAGTTAAGCCGCAACGCCAGTCGTAAAATCTTGTATAACTCATGTGACGGCACCTTTACTCCGGTCAATTTATTTCTCGAAGGGTCGCACCTGAAGATTCGCACGACACCTCACGCCTTGTAACTTTTACGTCTCTGGAAGATTTGCAGTGATTTTGACATTTTAAAAATGGACCAAATTTATCATTTTTTATTTTTACAAAACGCCAACGCATTAAAAGCGATACCGGCTATTTTATTGCTATATCGATTACACCAGTGTCACGCATTCGGCTGCATGAACCAATGATCGATTCCATTATTTTTTTACACTCAAACTCCTATCTCGATTTATGTTTTCGTTTTAACGTCAGTCGAAACCATTCGTGGGACTCGGAGCGGAATTCTCAATGAATAGTTAGACAATCATAGACAGTGAATGACGGGACGCATCAGTTTCCAGCGGTAAAGCATGATTTATGTCTCCGTGTCTCATGGCGGTTCAAAATTTTTCCAAGGTGGTATCCAAGTCACATTTTTCTTACGTTCTGAAATATAATCGGCGGACCTTTCGGAATTGCTTGTCAGCGAGTGCTGGAAAATACAGGCGAAGGCTTAACTTGGGTATATTTCAGGTTAGCTGCTTCATTTTTACTGGTCTTCCGCTCAATCTTATTTCCTATGGACCATCAGTCATCCGTATAAATATATATATATATATATACATGCCATAGCTTGAGTAACGTTCCGACAGTGATAGGATGAAATATTGCGATAAACTTCATCGCTTGAATGTCTCGCTGAATATATTTAAATAATTGTACCTTTGAATCAAGTACTTGTCTACCGTCCATCTTGATATTAAATAAATTCATTTCGTTTTCGATTTTAATACTTTGAACCTCCCTTGAACGAGCGTTAAAGTCGATCGAACGATGAGTCACAGTATACAACTTCTTTAAATTTAATCACTTACAAAATTTATTACGTACACGTCTAACCGTAATCTTCTATGCCTCGCAAACAGCAGGAACGATCATGGCTCCTTATGCAAGTAGTACCTTCCTCCTGATAGTCGAACACGACAGATCGATCGAGTGCCTGATAACAATTTTCCGTATCGGAGTTATCGATTACAACATGCTATTAGCGAGCTGGTCGTATATTCCGTAAAAATAGTCCAACGTATTTTCCGCCTGAAAATTGAGCTTCGATCCTTCGCTGTTATGGAACATGTATTGAAATAATTTTTTTTGTTTAAATCCAATCCCGAATCTGTTCACAGACGGATACTCCAGCATGCACCAATATTCGTTATCCGATATGCTCATGTAAACTTCGCAGTGTATTAATCGAATTTGAAAAATGCCCATTCGGTATACTAATAATTTTCCAGCTTGTCGTATTTAAATCGCCCGCTAAAACTACAGATTAACGTGGCGTAAGCCAGACTCCTTTTTTTTCTTCTTTCTCCTAATGGATTATCAACAGTAACTTACCGCTTTGCATCTTTATTAGTTGAATCTACTTCTGTATGAAATTACGTGCCACTGGCATTCGTACTCATTCTTTCATCTGTCCTTTATTGTCTCTTGTTGTTCTTACGTCACTAATCCTGCTTCCGTTTCCAGATCTGAATTGCCTGTTTATTTCGTTGTTGTTTCTAACAAGGCACACTTTAGCCACATGTGTCACGCTTACCTGCTGTTCACTTTATGTATGAAGTTTTCCATACGATATAGATAGATACTTGCTATACGTCACTGTACCATATAGATATACAGTGTGCACGCGAAAATATTGAGTCACGTATTACATGCGAAGGAAACGTTATCAGTCCCACAATATAATTTGTATCGTTGTTTAATTTACCAGTTAATGAATGAATTCGCGGAAACTTTCGTTGTTTTTCAAAACTGACTACGTACAGAAATAGAAAACAGGATGCACGTCATTTATTGATTCTGGGATCTTTCCTTATTCTTTATTTGAATGTCGTTTATCGTTCACGTGAATTCTTATATATTGTGCGAATCCCTGTTGAAAGGGTTGACGTAGTTGAGAATTTACGACAAGGAATGAATTTAAAGGTAAAAGGGCGCGTAACGTAATTTTTCACTAAATTGAAAGTCTTCCGGATTTATACCTTTTGTATTATGCTTTGCCTAATGAGATTCTTTGTTACCCGAATGAGAAAAGGTTTTGCTCGTTGCGCGTGGAAAACCAATGATTTCGAGTGCGCCCATTAACCAGATCCTTTATTTCGTGATAATAACTTTGTTACTATCTGTAAATAATATAGTGACACAGGAAACGTGTATTTTGCCTTACTTTGCGTAAACTAATTAACGGAAACGTACGATGAGATAGCGTTGAAAGCAGAGAATTTAAAAAGGATGTCAAGTGTTGAAATTCAAATTTATAATCAGTGTTCACAGCAATGTCTGCTTCGTGTACAAGTCACCCTTAACAAATTGTAACCTATTCCATAAGCGTATCCGTAGGAATGTTGAAAGATAAAATGAAAGAGAAAAATTATATCTATATGACGTCAGATTTCAGGTTAAATATTACCATATTTTATATTCAAATTTTTCTTTTTCTCCATCAGACAATTTTTTATAAGCATAAAAAATGTTATCACGTTACAAATTCGTTATTCCACCTGTAAAACCGGAATAGCACTCTCAATTATAAAAATTCCGTCAATGGCTTTTTTCAAGTTTTACAAAAATTAATTGGATCAGCCATTGTCGACAGCTGCGAGTGATGATTCGAAAACACGTTTAGAAATAAATTCAATTTCTCGTCACGTATGGCGAATTACAAAACAATGATATCAAAACGTTATATTCTGTTTTCAGACTGACAAACTGTGCTTTGTTTAATGTGATCATTTCCCAACATGCCGGCGTGTTTATTTTTATGCCCGTTTCCACACTTCTTCCTAAACTGTGTGTCAACGCACACGTGTATGATTGCTATTGGTATTACTCGATAAGCGATAATCAAATGCATCGAACGTAACCTCAAATTATTACACATTGTGACAACGCACTATAGGTTTCGTACGTTAAGTATACAATTATCCGATTATAATTATACGATGATTCTGGTGCAGATATGCGAGCGGATTACAAATTGTCTGTAATGCGTGAATTTCGTTGTGAGAGCACGTGGTGCTTTACCTGTCAATTCTAATACGTTTGTTACTCATTTGCTGTCTATCATTCTATTCTCTGGCTGAACACACATTCTGCCACGCAGCTTCACATGGATCTTCCATATTTACACGTGAGCCACGTTCGAGCTGTCATTTCATTTTGGACCCTTGATCGACAGGGGTGCGTAGAATAGGTCACCCTTCAAAGGGATCCACCATCAACTTTTACTGTGGCTAAAAGTGCCGAGTGTGTCTTCTTGTAGATAACTGGACTTGTGTGTGCACACGTATGCTTTGACAATGAACTAGCATAAATATATATATATATCCTTGCAAAATAAATGACATAACTTGAAATTGCAATATGACGTCTGAGTGCTCCG